AAGAGGATGGTCAATAAATTATTGGTGCAAAGTTCATAAAAAAACAGAGTCAGCCTATTTGACTTACTACTTATGTCAATTGTTTTAAAAAAATCCAATTGGTTAAATTTGGTTAGATTTTTTCGTTTTATTTTTTGTTAATATGTATGCAAAAACATTACATATTTTGTGCAAAATTTGTGGTTAATATTTTTTGTTCAAGGTAATATTGTTTGAAAAATTTAATATACATCTTATCTCAAACTTATAGCAACATTCTTTATTTTATGGAATATAAAATCTGTTCACGCGAATTTAAAAGAGATTTTTTTTTTCTTTCCCATAGAGAATTTGAAATATATTCAATATCGGATAACTCTATTTATCCAATTTTCTGTGGTAATTTAATTTAAACAAACAGATGAGTCTACATATTTTATAACACGCAATTATTAAATTTTATATAATGAATAACTTAAAGTGTGGAATAATATAATACAATGGAATAATTATGGCACGTTATAAAATATTTAAAGTATGGAATATTAAATTTATCCTCATTTGCCGTTAGTCCGATTTTCTTATTTTATTTTAAAGCGTGGAATAAATAACTTCCATATTTCATGCATTAATATCTATTCGTCTTTTTTATTAAGATAACCGAAATCTTTGTTAGGAAAAAATCCAATCCCATATTTTTCAGAATTTAGATTTACACTTATCCAAGAGATTCCAATTATTTTGCAAAAAAAAGTTAACGCGTTTTAATTATGGCCGATATTTTTATGTGCATATAAATCATGTACGTATCATTCTAAAACTGAAATCCACATGTATTAAAAAATTTAAAATTGGGATCCTATCCGAGATTTCCTAATTCGCTCTAAAAAAAAATTGAGTTTGAATTTAGCGAAAAAAAAAAACATGATCATATTTTTTTTTCGGAAACAATTGCTTATAAAAAATTATCCAAATTAATAAATACTAATAATTATGTAATTGATTTGAAATCTAATTTTTTTTTAAAAAAAATTGTTCATAATTCTTTTTTCCAAAACAATTGCTTTTAATCAATTATCCAAATTAATAATTACTAAGAATTATGGAATTGATTTGAAATCTATATTTTTAACATGAATGTTCTAAAATTTTGATTCACATATTATTTGACCAATTATAAATTCACTATTCAAATTTACATACTAATAAATAATAAATTAAATTTTACCTAATTTTTTCCTAAAATCATCTAAATAAATAAATCACAGGTCAAAGAATTTCAATTTCACATGCCACCCGATTTTACTCAATCAGATAATAAAAAGGATAATAAATGCTTACCAAATTTTTAGAGAACATTCACCTATTACAAAAAAATTATCATTTTTAAAAATTATTTTATATTCTAATTGCAATATCGAATTCAATTATATCTTAAAAAAATTGCAATGTTGTCACATAATTTAAAAAATAAATCGTGAAAAACAATTGGTAAACGAATCGAATATTTCTCATTTTATGTTAGCAAAGAATTCAAGAACAAAGAAATATATATCTCATTTGAAAGATTCACTATTAGTTTATCTCAAAATAAATCAGAACGAATGGAAAATCACAAATAATGTACCACATTTATATAAGTAATCAATTATACAAATCATCAACCACATCTCTCTAGCATTTTTTTCATCTCTAATATGGGCTTAAAAAATTGAAGCGTTAGACCTAATTTGGCTGGATATATTTGGTTTTATTTTAATGGGCCCATTTTAGTTAAAAAAAAAAATGGGTCGGGTCGTTAATGTAAATGGTCACCATTATTTTTTTTTTCAATAAGATTTGGACTGAATTATTTGTATTATCCGACAGTTTTTTTGTAAAAATTATGTATTTATCTATTTGGTCTGATATTTTATTTAATTGTGTTGCTTTACATATATATGTTGCATAATATGCTATCCATTATAAGAATTTTATATTTTTTTTAATACTATAAAACCAAATGGGTAGTTTTTTTTTATACAAGTTATATTTTCATTCTTTATTAGTATTCGTTTAAAATATGTGATAAATGTTGTTAAATTGTTGCTTTTATTAACAATGTTATTAATTTTGTAACTTTTTTTACATATTGTTTTTCTAAATTGATTCGAAATAATCTTACAATACTGTTATTTGAGCCTTACTTATATAGGTACTATGGATTCCGATTTTTGTACCGGATCAACGGTTAGTAAACGACAAATGACAATTAGATCAAACAGTTCATAAATTGCCCTTCACTAATATTAGTTTGTGATGACAATGACTCACCAATAAATCAAATTAAAAAAATTGTGTACGAAAAAGTATTAAATATTTTTTTAATTTTTTTAATTTGTTTGAACCGTTTTCCTTAGTTGCACATATACCACATCCATTACATTTAATAGTCAATATTTAAAAAAAAAAAAATCAGAATAATATATCATCGCGTGCATCGCACGGCCCTCGACCAGTAATTCTAGACTGAAAAAGTGAACACATACATTATTGATGCAAAACCCAAAAAAAAAAAAAAAAAAAGGACTTCGAAAAATAGAAAAGGCATATATACCGTGCAAAGATTACAACTTTTTAGGCTAAAGAGGTGATAAATAAATGGAGAGATGGTCCCGTTATTTGTATTTTTGTTAAAAAAAAAAAAGGGGGAATTTTGAAGATATGTTGAGATTTTCGAATATCACATTGACATGTTTAGGGAAGAATTTTGGCAAGGGAGACAGCCGACCAAGTGGGAAGTATATATAAAATCTTTAATCCATATAAAAATGGTACACAATCATTTTACTATGAAATGTGGTCATATAGAGAAAAATCAAATAAACAGCAATTCATGATTTTTATCTTTTCTCAAACTAGTACAGAGTCCGTGCGATGTACGAGATGCACAATTTTAAGGTTATTTATCCATTCTTATAATTATATAAATGAATAAAAAAAATGTACGGGATATATAAAGTACGTGACCTGTAATAGACCAAAATGTGAACACGGGTGACGCACGGGGTGCACAATTTTAAGGTCATTTATTAGTGCATACCCCGTTCGATGCACGTGATATATATAATAAATCAATTATTTCTATAGGACTTGTACGTCTAGACAAAAAAACAATAGACTTGGATCATCCATATTTCACATCTTTTAATAAGTGGCGTTTATTTAAGCCAAAAAATTAACATGTTAACTAATATATAATTCTGCTAACACGTCATACTAATATTTATTTGATTTTAGAATACATATTTATTCATTGATATAGGAAAAAATAAAAATTTTATTAATTATTGTTCACCATATAATACTCAATTATTATTTTGTTATAAAATTTACAGACATATAATGTAATTATTATTATTTATAAAAGTTATAGAAGTAGTCTTCTTTATGTAATGAAATTCAAAATAAAATTTTAAGTATAAATGTTTACAAAATACACACACACTTGTTTTTTAAAATTCAATTTTCTCATAATAATTCTTTTTTTTTTAAATCCCTTACATAATCAAGAGATTTTTTCTAATTTTTATCCTAAGGCTTTATAGTTTATTTAACATACTATGCAATAGAAAAATATTTTACAATAAGTTCATTTTTGAAACATAACAAAAAAAAAGGTGATAAAAACACTATCATAGTTGACAATGATATACAAATAAATAACATGTCGAAATTTTAAAGAATAACTAATATAATTTTATTATCTAACCATCAATAAAATCATTTAATGATGTGATCATTATTAAAAAAATACTTTTCTCTCTCTCTCTGCGGCGATTCTTCGAAACCCTTGCAGACAACCTCTCTTGCGCTGTCCGGCCTCCCCGTCGACGGCGAGGCTTGAGCCTGTAGCCGCCGTTGACCGCCCGCTCCGTTCCTAATGTCTCGCCTTCCCGCTTTGCTGCAATTGTTGGTGATGGACTCGCCGTCCTCAGTCGTCTGCGAGATTTCGATTGGGGTGGTGGTCCCTCGATCTAAGTCCGATGGCTCTTCCTCGCTGGCGGATCTTCGATTGGTGAGGTATTGCCCCTTAATTTATCTCTTGTTTTGCAATTGGGTCCATTTGGTCTCCCCTGCTGTGGGTGTTTCCGGTGGTTGTGTGGGGGTTCTGTCGCCGGCGGACTGTGGCGGGGTTGGGTGGTGTGCGAGTCAGTGGACGGGGCGGGACCTTGGTGGACGAGACACCTGGTGTCGAGAAAGCTTGGGTTGTAGGGCCGGGCTGCTCCCCTCCACATCTTCTGGTGTTGGGGACTGAAGGGGTCCGGTGCGCTCGATTTCTGCTAGTGGTGTTAGGAGAGGTTGGGTTGCGTTGGTGTTGGGAGTGGGTCTTGTTCTCTCGGTTGGTGGTGGGTTGATTTGAGATGGCTTCGGAATTCAGGTTCGGTTGCTGTATAGGCCTTATCGCAGTTTCAGTAGCTGTTACTCGGGCTTGGGGTCTTCTTGAACCGACTGTTTCGCTATTGGTTTTTGGGCTCGTGTGTCGACCGAGAAGGCCTTAGTCTATTTAGTTGTTTTTAGCCTTTTTGTTTCTGTTTGTTTTCTTGTATTTTTGGTTTGGGCCATTTGGCCTCTGTGAGCCTGGGTGTCAAATTTATTCTCCTGTTGGGAGCTGACACTCGGGTATTCTCCTGTTGGGAGCCTTGTTAGTTTTTTAGTTTTTGTCGTTGTTGGTTGGTGTTGTTTGTGAGCTTTGTTATTCTAGCGTTGCTAGGTCAGGCTTTAGGCGATCTTTGGATCTGCCTCCCAGTTTTTTCAGTCCTCAGTTGTACTATTCAGCTTTTGGCTGCTTCTCTTCGCACGTTGTGCGGTTTTTATTAATATAGTACCTCTATCGTTTTGGGAAAAAAAATGTGATTATCTTTTAAATGATAAATAATATTAATTTTTTAAAAAAATATTAGTT